TTTATTCGCTCCTTCTTCTCTTTTCATTTTCTTTCTTTCTTCGATATTACTCCTTCGTTCTTTCGTATTTATTTTATTAATTTATTCTCTTGTTCTTTCCTTCCTTCTTTATTTCTTCTTACGATTTCATTCGCTCGAACGTTCCCCCTACGACTTCTTTCGTTTCTTTTCTTCTTTTCTTCTCTTTTAAGATTTCGACTTCATTCGCTCATGTTTCATTTCCTTTTTATTTCTTTCTACGACTTCATTCACGAACTCTTTCATTTGTTTTTTTATTTCTTACTACAATTTCATTTGCTCATTCTTCTATTTCTCTTTTTTTCTTTCTGCTACTTCATTCACTCGTTATGTAAGAAAAGAAAAACTTGGAATAAAGGTATTGGATAAAGAAGAAAGTGATATTGAAGAAATCGTTAAAAGAAAGAAAGAAAGAAAGAAAGAAAGAAAGAAAGAAAGAAAGAAAGAAATAACAAAGGAAGGAAAAAATAGTGGAGCAAAGTCGTACAAATGAATATTAAAAATGAACGAATGAAAAATATGGATATTAAAAGAAAAAAGAGTGAAAGAAATCGTAGAATGGAATAAAAAGGCAAAAGAACATCGAATGAATGAAATCATAAAAGAAAAAATGAATGAACGAAGTTGTTGAAAAAAAAATATTTTTCTAAGAAGACAATGCCAATAGAAGTCGTTGAAAAAAAAAACAAATAAAACAAGCGAATGAAATTGTAAAAAGAAATAAACTAGAAGAAAGAAAAAAGTAAAGAAAGAATGTAATCGAAAAAAAGAAAGAAAATAGAAAGAACGTGCGAATGAAGTTGTAGAAAGGAACAAAAAAGAAAGAACAAAATAAGGAGGTCGTATGAAAAATAATAAAAAAATAATAAGGGAAAGAACAACGAACAAATGAATTCCTAGAAAGAAGAAAAAAGGAAAAACAAACGAATGAGCTTTTATAAACACATACAAAAAGAAAAGCGAGTAAATGAAGTCTTATAAAGAAACAAAAAATAAAGAACGACAAAATGAATTTGAGAGAAAAACGATGAAAAGGCTAGCGAATGAAGTTGTAAAAAGAATTAAAATGTGAATAACGATCGAATGAATTTGTAGAAGCAAATAAAAACGAAAAGAAGAAAGGACAAGTGAAGTCGTAGAAATAAACAAATACGAAACGGCAGAACAAATGAATGAAATATTAGAAGAACAACTGAATGAAATTCTTTCCTTTTTTATTTAAAAGGAAAGAACGACCGAATGAAGTCTTGGAAAAGAAGAAAAAACAAAGGAAAAGAAAGGAAAAAAGGAGCAAAAGCAGTTAGAGGAAGAAATGAAAAAAGAAAGGAAAAAATGAACGAAGTAAAATAGAAATGAAAGAACGAGCAAATGAAGAAGAAATAAAAAAAGACGTGAAAGAATTAGCGAATGAAATTTTAGAAAAAAATAAAAAAGGAAGGAAAATAATGAACGACGGATATCGTTGAAAGAAATAAAAAAGAATAATTTTTTATATTACTTTCAAGTTTTCCTTTACTCCTTATTTTAATTTTTTCTATTTTCTTGAAGTTATCGACTTCATTTCGTTGGCCGCCATTTTTATTGGTACTTAAAAGAAAACCTTTCGCTTTCTATTCTGTTCTTACTTCAAAGACATTTTTTCACTCTTATTTTTCTTTCTTTTAAAACACTTATTCCTTTTTTTCAAAGATTTCTTTTGTTCTTTTCTTTTTTTCACTATTTATTGTTTTTAACCCTTTCTTTCACCCTTGCTTCACTTTTATACTCATTTCTACGATTTATTCTCTCGTTCTTGATTCTTTCGATCTTTGTGGATGTGCAGGTGGTGTAATGGATAGTGGCTAGGAATGATAAAACGGAGATCCGTGTTCGAATTCCAGTCGAGTTCGTTGCTTTAAATAACCTAGAAATGGTTGATATGCTGAAGAAAGAATAAACATTCAGCCAACATTTGTAAGGTTTCTGTCTATATATCTGAAATGAGGTATTATGTACATTATTTACATTATTCGGACTATTGTCCTCATCTTTGTCGCCATATTTATTACAACGTTTCGGCCCTTCAGTGTCTGTCTATATTTCTGAGATGAGGTATTATGTACATTATTTACATTATTCGGACTATTGTCCTCATCTTTGTCGCCATATTTATTACAGTTTCGGAAAGAAATATAAAAGGGAAATAGGCCGCCCCCTTAAGGTAAGACTTCAAGAACACCAGAAAACTGTAACACGAGGGGAAGTGAAAAATCATATGGAGAGAGAAAGGAGACCACCGCCTTCTGTGGGATCAGATTGAGATTATAGACAAGGAACACCATTGGAAAATTCGTAAACTTAAGTAATCAGCACATATGCTAGGTCACAAAAATCTCCTGAGCCGACCAAGCGTAGAAATGAATACAATATGGGAACCAGTAATAAGGAGTGCCAGTGAAACGCAATAATAACAACAAAAGTTGCAATATGATCTCTGGTAAAA